GTTGAGTTTGGCTGGTACCAGAAGAGCAAATTGCCCTGCATATTTCACATGGTAAAATTTCTAGTCATTGAAGAAATAAAAAAAATGCACCTGATTTACTTACATTTTTGTCTTCCTCTTTTCTTTTGGTGTAAAGTTTGAAACATGGGATTTCTCTAAAAGACAGACAGGGAGTATTGGGAGCATTTTTCTGTAACTGACCACACTTGGCCTGCTTAGGACCACCCCTCGGTCAGATGGATGAATAGATGTTAGCAGGGAAAAGAAGGATGAAACAAGAAGAATGGATGGAGTCCTGGATTGGACTGTAAGGAGATGGATCTAACTGAACTGAATGAAGAACATCTGGAGGAGAGATGGTTAATCATGGCCCTGGGGGGCCGCTATCCTGCATGTTTTACTTGTTTGTCTGCTCCAACATACCTGATTTGAATGAATGGGTGAAAACCAAACGTCTGCAGAACTTGAAGAGGTAATGCAATCACTGAATCAGTTGTGTTGGAGCAGGACAAGTAAAACGTGCAGGATAACAGCCTTGTGGGCAGAGCCGGCTCTTGGCATAGGCGAACTAGGCGGTYGCCTAGATCGCCATCTGCTGGAGGGGGCGCCAAAAAGTAATTATTTGTAATCCCTGGTTGTAACTCTGCTCAGCGCCCCTTTCAGTTAGTTTTGTCTTAAAAAAAACTATAATGAAGTATTACAGGAAAAAAAAAACTACCCAGGCTCGCTGCGAAGCAGGAGGAAATGAGAGTGGAAAAAGTTCAAAACTTAATTCTACCGGCAGAACAGGTTGGAAGATGGCTAATGTTATTTATTGTTTTTTTAAATCATCCTAAAGGCTCTGACATGTTAGATAATTTTGAAAATGAGGTTTTGAAAAAATCCGTAAGACTTAAAAAAAATCCGTGAAATTGCCCTATTCGTCTGTATGCCTGCAAAATGACGTAAAAATCCTTATAACTTACGGACAATCCGCACAAGTTGACATGTATGTTGTTATTTATTTGCTTTCTGGGAAAGCAAATAAATCTGTTTACCATAGTACCTTACACTGTCAAACTTGTTTTTAGGTGTTTAAATTGGGGAGGGTGGGACATAGTTCGGGGGGGGGGGGGCACTTCAACTTGCCTAGGGCACCAAAATGGTTAGAGCCAGCACTGCTTGTGGGACCAGGATTGGACCTCCCTGATCTGGAGTATTTTCCACTGAAGATGTGCTGCTAACCTGAAGAGAGTTGAGATGAAAGGATGGATAATGAAGGAAGGGTGAGTGTTTGCATGAGACAAATTGTGCTGAGTCAGCAGTAAGAAAGCTGTTCAGGTGAACAGAGATGTGGTCCTGATCCGGAGTTGTCATGTTAACTTTATGTTGGAGTTTTTAGACAAAAAACAAAAGACCCTGCAGTTTTAGGGTCCATGACCCTTCATTTCCTCTTCTCATTGGCCTTTGGCACCATCGAAAATGTTGATTATTATGTGATTTTCTTTGTTTTCATCTATAGAAAATGACCTCCGCCTCACTTATCTTTTAAATTTCTTGTTCTGTCCAGCAGAATATGATGAATGATGAGGAGGAGCAACTCCACGACATGAATCTATAAAAATGTTCTGTTTACCACAGAAGAGTACTGTGTGTATTTCATTCAGCAAATTCATTTTACAGTGTTTCCCATCTGATCTCCATAAAGTGTGTATTGTGTAGTATTACATCAACATTTGAAAAAGTTTTATTATTTTTCTTTCTTGGTTCTGGTTCTCCTGCATGTCCCTGCTCTGGTCCCGCCCACGCTCACCTGTTCTCACGTGTATATCTCCTCCAGGTGTTTCTTAGTCCCAGCACATTAGCGCTCCTTTAAATTCTGTTTCCAGTCCTCTGGGTCTTATCAGTGTTTCCATGGCCACCTTTTTTTCCCTTTCTTTCTTTTTTCTCTATTTATTAATAAAACAAGCATGGCATTACAGTACTTTGTATAAAATAATCATGCTTCGAACATTTCTGTCACTTTTAGTCATAAAGTCTAAACGAGGAACATGCAGGGGTTAGACAGTGAATCTGAAACACCTGTCATTTCAGTGTGGGAGGTTTCATGGCTAAATTGGACCAGCCTGGTGGCCAATCTTCATTAATTGCACAGTGCACCAGTAAGAGCAGAGTGTGAAGATTCAATTAGCAGGGTAAGAGCAACATTTTGCTCAAAATATTGCAATGCACACAACATTATGGGTCCTGTTCCTCTTCCTGGCCTGTAAGTTTCATCAACCAGTTTCTTTTGTTTAAAATGGTTTTCCTTTGAGAATTAGAGTCATTAAGTCTGCACTTTGGGTTCAACTAAAAGGCCGAACATGACAGGTGTGCGTGAGAGTGTGAGGAGTTGTTTGTTTCCCTGTGATGGACTTGTGATCCATCCAGGTTGTCCCCAGCCTCTCGCATAGTGATCTCTGGCAGCAGCAACCAGGAAAGGATTTTGATTTGATTTGATTTGATTTATTGATTTAACAGGAAAAAATTACTAAAAATCAAGCCTGACTCAGCATAATTGCTGTTTTACAGCAGGTT